TCATTTCTCACAGCTAACTTAGGGGAGGAAACTTAGGCGCAATTGATGGGATATAAACAACAAAAACTATACTAGATAGATGCAAAGACCTAGTACAAATTATTGCATGCATTTTGTATCATCTTAACACGAGAATTACTAATTTTTTTGTGATGAATGATGGATTCAAGATTTTATATGAAAGATGATTAAAAAATAATTATATTATATATTTTAAATTATATATATATAAAAAAATTAAAAATTAAAAGGTGACAGTCATCATCTTGTCGCCACTTTGACTTCGTGGATGTTTGCAACATATTCTTTCTATGAGAGCAGTAGATACTCAAGAAAAAATCTTGGATTGGAATAGGTGAATATACTAACTCTTCATAAATGTTTTCGTTCCGTATAAAGCCGATGCCTAGTTGTCGAAGCTTTTGCCTTGTTGCTAAGGTTGGCAGAGATTTTTTTCTTTCTTTCTATCTTTGTTTATCATGTTTTCAGCCAAAGGATTTTCACATCATGATGTTGAAAAGTGTCATTCTCATTACCCAATACCTAGGCATTTGGGTGGAGAGCCGACCATGGCCTCTATTTCCTTTGGGGACCAAAAGGGTACATACTCCCTTACTGAGCCTAATTGACAACTTTAAACCTAAATCTGGATTAATTTAACCTATGTTATGTATGGTGATTATATTAAAGTAATAAAATGATAAAAATTAAAAATAATGTCTCTAGCGAGACATTCCGATAATAAAAATTGTATAATTTTAACTGTCGAAAAGAATTATCTCTTATTATATAACCCCGAATGGGATTTTACGTGTATCAAAAGTACAAAGAGCATAATTAATAAGAACAATGATTTTTTATTTGAGATAGGATTTGGATCTAATAATATGTTTTCACTCACATGCGGTCAAACTTGAACAATTAAAATATTATAAGAAACATTAGCACCCTGTAAATATTATTAATTAATTAAAGAGTATCTAGTAAATTAGATTTATTATACATTGAGGAGATGACCGACAAGGATTTGCATTATTTTTGTTTCTCTCTCAAAATGGACACCAAAGGAAGTGCACTTTGGTGTCTATTTTAATATATATTACTTGCTTTCATGTGATAATTTATTTTAATTTAAAGCAAGATCTTGATTTAATTCCTCTGATTTAGAAAGTACAAATTGAAGAAATATTGGAAAGCTACATGATGGAGGGGAGAGAAAAAGCTGATTTGCTTTTGTGGGCTGTTTGTATGATGGGGCATGTGTGGTTCCATCTCCCATTCACATGGAGATTATTTTTATTTATAATAATTAAAATATTTTTTAATTTTTTTTATTTTTATTAAATTTAATTTAATTTTTATATTTTTATTTTGAATCAAATAAAATTTTATGATTGATAATTTACTTATCATTTTATATCACATGTTAGTAATATAATATATTGAAATAATGTAATGGATATTAATACACGACATGTTTATATAACCTCACAATGATCGTGTAATATTTTTATTTTTTATGTTAATATCGTATCAACATCACATCAATATAGATGATAAATACGGTTATAAGAACATATTTAATTATAAATAAAAATATAAAAATTTAATTAAATATAATAAAAAATAATAATTTTTTATAACTTATAATATAAAAACAAAACTATATACTATTCAATCCCAAAAAAAATTGAAAGAAGAAAGAAAACAAAATATGAATTGTGAGGTCAAGCTCATCAGGTGTAGCAAAGTCAAACATTTGCTGGCTCTTTGTCCACCAGACATAATATAGGAACAAAACACCCGGTTGAAGTAACATGCGAAGGTAATACTATTTGCCAATTTTGTCACTATGGAATAAAACAACTGCACATGAATTTGGAAGATTATAAGCATCTTCTCAACTCTAAAAGCTGTCAGTCTCAGGTTAATTTGACACTTATTAATAAACAAAGAGAAAATAAAATTTAATATTGCATAGATTTTTTAGTTTTTTATATTATTAAATCATAAATTTTTAAGTTTATTACTAAGAATTTTTTGTTTGCTTTGACACTCTATTTGAGGGAAGGATGGTGATGAAAATTAATATTTTGACTGATCTATAAATTGGTCCAGGTACTCTATAGTAGGCAGTCATCTCTAACCCTTTAATTATAACCTTTATTTATTCTCAAGATTTGAATTGAAAACTTTTAATTCAAAAT